AGGAATGCCTGATTGACTTTCTCATACTCATGTGCCTCTAAATAGTAAATCTGATAGCACAGGTTGAAGCTCTTGCTCAGTATTCCTCGAAAGACTCATCTCTATTCCCTTGGCTCTGGACATTCTCTCACTGCCAGCTCTGGTGTAAAAACCATTAGGTTGTCATCTGCCACACAGAGTCTCTGGATTGCCATTTCACCATCACTTACCCTTCTGTTTTTATCAGAGGATGCAGTCCTTGACAAAAAGTAATCTTTCACTTAAACAAATGCAGCCAGAATATAATTGCACTCTAACAGGTAAGCAGACTTTCTAATAACTTAGGATCATTTTGATTATGTTAATGCAGGTCATACAATTATTCCTGACTCAAGGACTCCCCTAATAATTGTTCTCTTTTACACAAATAGGAACACATGGAGCACTTTAGGCACCCTTTGACATTATAGAATGTATATAGAACCATTTTTCCTGAAGGGACCTAAAGCAGTGATAGCAGGTGATTGCCCAGCAAAGGTATTTTGTTTGTATGAGTATGGATGTACAAGTGGAAACCAAGTGGGTTGTCCTTTTGTGTCCCAGTTATCTTGTAAGTGGCAAGAGCGAGCATAAGACTTCATAAAGGAGATTGGCACCACAAATGCAGGTGCAGCTCCTCCAGTCTTTTAAAAGATGCTTAGTCTTGTGCCTAGCACATGTGGAGAACAACTCTTCTGTCTGTACAGTTTGCTCATTTGTCCTGTTTCTCTAACCGTGAAGACAACAGTTTGGAGGAAAGGAGAGGTTGTTAGGAAAAGAAAATAGGTATTTCTGTTTTTAATGATTACAGGATAGTGTATTCATTGTTTCTTGAACATTAACAGAACTAACATACAGGAAAGATGCGACTATATTCTCCTTCCAGTGCCAAAAAGGATATCAGCTTTTCTTCCCCAGCCCTTGGTCTCTTCATTTCTTCCTCTAAGGTTTAGCAGATACACTCTGAGCACCTTCATCTCTCCATTGAGCTTTCTTCTCCAAGTTTATGCTTGCAAGAGATTCATGCTTTTTTACAGCCTACAACAAAATGACAAAGCAAGAAGAGAAAGTATCACCTAAGGGACCACAGAGATGAAACCTGAATCAATATTTACAAAATAGCTGGCCTGTCCTTACCAAGGCACAGTTCTGTCAGCTTTAATGCCAGGAAGAGAGAGAAGGTTAAAATAAAACATTCATAGACTATTTTGGCTTAAACTCATAACTTCTGTGAGAATAAATTAAACCTTTTTGTTAAAGCACTAGGAGATGTATTCTGTGCTTCTGGTCAGTATTTAATACTAATGTCTGTTTTTCAGAAGTTAGAGGTACTGGAAACAAACAGGTTGAATGTAATACATTCCAGCTGCTGTGAAAACAAGGGTCCCAAAGCAGCTGGCCTCCCCTGTTTCTGGTGTCTGCATTCATACTACTCCAGTGTAAGATGAAAATGCTCTGAGAATCATCAATGTTTGATCTCTTCTGCTAAAGCCAGGGAAAAACCTTTCCACTGTTTTGTTTCAGAGTGCTGCATCCTTTTCACTGTGATAGGGGAATGCTGACAAGTAGAAATGTCACTTGAACCCTCAATAGTTCACAGTCCTGGGGTTGAGACTCTGTTATGAGTTTGTTTCTCGAGAACACTTGGTGGTCTGTACCAAGAATATCTGAACATTGCCATTGCAAGAACTGCTTCAGAGAAAGGCACCATACAAATAAGGTTCTGCCCACGTAGATTCTTTTAAGCTCAGCATTTTCTGCTCCCAGTCTGTAATGGACTGTGTTTCTGTTACCACCGTGCTTTTTGTCAAAAGCAACATGACGACAGGCTGTATAGATTGTATTCACATTCCTCGACTTTGAGACTAACGCTGAGAGGCTTTAGCTTGGCTTTGGTACACATAAAGGACTCCTTGCTTCTTGACAGAAACACCACAAAGTTAATAGTTCACCAGCTGTGTTAAAAACCACATAAAATTAAGGCATGACTAACCTTTGCTGCACTTGAAGTCTTAAACTGTACACTTCCTCACTTCATATGATGCATACTAAATCGTAGACCTAGTTCTGCCATATGCTGAACTTCTTCAGTATCTTGCCAAATTCAATGCAAGTGGAAGATTCTCAGCATCTACAGGACTTGGGAGGTTTTCTATGAAATAGTTTTTCAATTCAACAAACAATAGTAATTTAAAAAAAATTGTTCCATCCACACTAAAGACTATTTTCCAATACAATTAAAGGGCACAGAATTATTACTAACCATCTCCCCATTGTTTAAAAAGACTGTTATAAGTCTCAAGTCTGTGGAGAAACATACTCATTTGCTGTTTCCACTATATGGATTCTACAAGTGCTGCAGCATGTAGAGAGGCATGTGTAATAGGTCCATGGCCCAAGGAGCACTGACCTGCCTACCAGATTCTCACAGCAGAAGATGCTCATTCCTTTCAAACTCTTAGAGCCCATCAGCAAAATCAAGAGTTAAAACAACATAAGCTAAAACAAAGTATTGCACTGCAGAAAAGACGACTTTTTTTTTTTTCTTTTTCTTTTAGAGGAGGCATATGCAGTCTAACAGTGACATCGCTCTTTTCTGACTTGGAAAAATTACCAATGAGGGTCACTTCTGAGGAATGAGGAGGACTTTTTTAAAATAATTTTTGCTCAGTGATAAAATGAAAAAAATAAACAACCCAAACCAAAACAGCACTAACGATCCATAGGAGGAATTGAGAAGTTGATGTGAAGATTGATTTGCACTCACCAGCAAAAAAAAAAAATCTGTGCTTACCTGCTTCCCTCTAATCACCATGGCTATGCATCCCACTATTGTCAAGGCAATCATCACGTAGCTGAACTTCACACGCAGTGTGGTCTTTGCTGCTCTGATTGTTTCAATCCTCAAGAAATAAAAGAACAGACTCATTATGAGAGACCCAAATAAACCGTTTGACCAATTGTTTGCTATCTTCTAGCATGCAATCTATGCAGTCTGCTATAATCCTAATGATGCTTGGCTCTTTTCACAAAAAGGTTTTAGAAGAATGGGAAAGGTTCATGTCCAGCTACCTTGGGAGGTACTTGGTCACAAAGGAGTTCCTCTCAAAGCTTGAAACAAACCCAACATTTTTAACTTTGGGTTATTTCACTGTTAAGAGACAACAGTGCCTTTCAAGACCTTGACTGCAATGCAGAGGAGGAAGGCTGCAGTATTTAAGTACAGTGAAAGATACTCATATTCACTATGGGGAGAAGAGGAAAAGAAGACGGATGTATTTACTAATAATCCCCTACTACAAGATTTGACAGTGCTATAGACGGCACACTGGCTGCTGAATGTAGTACTCCTCAGGAATTCTGAACAGGGCTTGGTAAATGACCAGTAGTTA